TTAAAATTTCGGGGCCGTTATACCGCACGCCTGACACCGCGCGCTGCACGCCTAGCACATCGCACCCAGCACCATGCGTTGCGCCCCGCGCGCCCCACACTGCACCCAACACCTCGCACACCGCTCGCTCTGCTTCCTTCCTCCTCTTTCTTCTTCTTCTCCTTCAACAGCGTGCATCATGCTCCTAACACTGCGCGCATGACATCATCTCTTCCGACCGCACGCCATGCTTTATTCTTCCTCCTTATTCTTCTGCTAGGGTTTCTTTTTCTCTTTTTTTTCTTTTAATTTTTTTTCTTTTTCTTGCCTGGCCTTGGTTATTACACAAGAACCAGGGAAAATCCAATAAAAATAATTTGTAATTTCAATGCACTTAAAAATAATATATAAAACAAATAAAATAAGGAAAAATTACATATTCATACTTCTATATAAAATAAAATTTTATCTACTTTATTACCTTAAATTTCACTAATAATGGTTTTAAAATTCCAATTTTTTAATAATTATCAATAAAATATTTTTATCTTTAGCAAACTCACTCTTTATTTTTTTTATATAAAAATAATAGTTTAGAGGTCAAATATGATACAATTTAAATAGTAGTTTGTGTGATTTATGCGTACAATAAATTATTATTATAATCATGTATAATATTGATATAAATTAATCTTTTTAAGTGTTGGATTTAATTATAATTTGATATAAATATTAATTGAAAAATATATTTTTTTTTAATAAGTAAAAATATTTTTTTAAAAAATGGTAAATAAAAAAATTGTTTAAAAACATAAGAAATGTTCAATAAAATTGGAGCATTCTAAAATTTCTCATATATTTTCTTTTAAAAAATTATTTGTACTTCAACAATTATTTAAAATTTTATAATCATTTTAGAATGAATTAATTAATCAATTTATGAAATTTCACATTTATTATAATTTAATTTTTAATATTCTTTTTGTTATAATTTAATTTTTAATAACCAATTAAAAATTGTTATTAATTAATAAATCTTATACGGAATATTTAAAGTTAACGATATTAGATATTAATAATAAATTTTTTAAAATAAAAGGACAAAATTAACATAAAATTAAAATGAAAACAAAATCCAAAGAAAAAAAAATTAGTACAAAAACTAAATTTATGTTTTAGCCTTAAAAAAAATTAGTAAAAATATTGTGAGAATTTTATAGAAACATTAAAAACAATCACTATATAATTCACGACATATAACATGTAATATATATATATATATATATGTACATGTAAGTACAGAACCATTTTAAAAGGGCCCACTCAAGCCGTTTGTTCCCTCTCTTTCTCCACGTCGAGAGCACATTTTCCCTTTTCACTTTCCTTTCTATTTTCCAGGAAAACTCTCTCTTTGGCTGTCTCTCCTTCTATCTGCACTGTAAATTGGTCATCTTAGCTTCAGCTTGAAGTTGCTCGATCTGGAAAACACCTTCTCTCTCCCTCCCTATAGATATATACATATATTTATACATAAACACGTGTACGTAGATTCATAAAATCTCATGTTATAGAAATTGGACGTGAATAGTTAGTTGATCGAGAGGATCTTATTTTCTTTTCCACTTTCATTGATTTTTGGTCAATTTTTTCTGTTTTTAAGGAATCTGTGATAGAATCAGATTTTGGGAATTTTTTGCTTATGTTTTGAGAGGGAGAAAGATGTCGAATTTACAAAGCAATTTCAATCAGAAAATCGACTATGTGTTCAAAGTAGTACTTATCGGCGACTCTGCGGTGGGAAAATCGCAGCTACTGGCTCGATTCTCGAGGAACGAGTTCACCATCGAATCGAAAGCGACGATTGGCGTCGAGTTCCAAACCAGGACTCTCGTCATCGATCACAAGACCGTCAAGGCTCAGATTTGGGATACCGCGGGTCAAGAAAGGTGTCATTCAGTTTTTTTTTTCTTTTCAGTTTCATAATCAAATCTATTTCTAGCTATTTATTTATCTATTTTTACGAATTTGCGCTTTTTGAGAGGGAAGTATGTTTCTGTTCAATACGTACTGGATTTGTTGAATTTGAGTATCTTATGTTTTATTGAGTATCGAGTCGTGTTTTGTTGAGTCGTTTATTGTTGTTATCTAAATAGTTGCTGGTACCATTTTAGCTCTCTGGTGAAGATTACCTGGTTCTTTCAAGTTGCATATAAGAGCTTGCTTGATATTCTGAGCTTCATGGTCCTAAAACTGTAGTGGCTTGTGTCGTAGTTTGTCCATTAAGTTGTTAGTTGGTTGCTTCAAGAAGGAGAGATTGATCTTGGTAATGAAAATTTCATGTTTATCTTACTATCTCCTTGCTAGATACATTTACTTTCTTGTGTACTTTTAGAATTAGAAGAATCCCATTTCTTCTTTTCCTTTCTCCTGTTCAACCATTGCTTCCAACCCTAAGCTTTGAGTTTTTCTACCATGATATGGCTCAGTTGCCGACCTAAAGTGGGTGCTTGACATTAGGGATAATCTAGGTAAAAGATTTGATGTTATTTCGTTATGAACCAAGCTTGTGAAAGAGTCTGATGGTTACTTTTATTTGTAGCAACGAAATTTGAAGTTCTATATAAGTTAGAATTTACATCTTTCAAATTTAGATAAATAGGTTCTTTTAGTAATTTTTTTGTATATTTTGTAACTATTGGTCTGGAGTTTGTTAGTATAATTTATGAGGGGCTTATACATAGTGTTCCGCAGTTCTATTTAGGATCAAGCCTTATAGAATAGGGTTATATTAGTCTATAAAAAGTCTGCTATTATATTCATAATCAAAATGGTCAATTGAGAGGATTTTGCAGCAGTTACTTTGTGATTATGTGATGCAATCAGTTTTAGGTTTGATGCTCAAAGAACAATGCCTGGCACTTAATTATTAGGTATGACGTCTAAGAAACCCTAGGCTTATTGTCTAAGTTAAACTCCTTGGTATTAAGTAGGCAAATTATCCGTAGCTTGTACTAGATAACCTTTTTTAGGTGTCTTGAGGACCTTTCTTTATTACATAAATGACAGTGAGTTTAATTAACTTCAACAAGCCCAACTATTTTCCCTTTTGAGATCTCTGATTTGTCAAGTATAAGTTTCCTTGTGGGCTCATCCCAAAGTTTTGTTATATGTTTTCTTTCAAAGAAACATGGAAATTTTGATCCAGTTACTTATTTGGTATTCATTCATAACTTGCTGTAATTAAGAAGACAACTTCGATCCAATATTAATTTTGCATTAGTTTGTCGATGATGTATTGCAGCGTGTAGTGATTTCCTTTTTGGGTTTTGACAATTCATGAAACTTGGATGCTGTTAATTTAAACTATTATCATATGAATATTGTTCATGTGATAAACACCAAACAATAAGCTACATTCTTATCAATCATGACTTTCATCCAAGTATTGGATGAGGGATTTCTAAAGCGGAGGCTTTTTTAGTGCTTATATCTTTTCCATCAGTTACATAAACATTAAAAATTCATCTTTAATATGATGTCACATGTAGTAGTATGAGAAGGGTTTATTTCAAAAAAATAAGTAAATAATATCAGATGGGTCAACAGAACAATAAGCCTTGTCATTATTGGATGGCTTCCCTGATTCAAAGATTTATAATGGTTGTCGCTACAAAAAGCATTTATAATGGTGTGAAGTATAGAAAAGTTCTTGATTTAGTTATACCAGCAATCAAAGAAATGCAATTTCCAAGTTGTATTAATTCTGCTTCTCAAATGAGTTATATGAAATTGTGAGAAGTGAGAGGTTAAGGTGGGAAATTTCCATATGATTTGTGAATAGGACAGCTCAAATGGGTTTTTACTTTAAAACTTTTGTATGATCAATTCATTTTTTTTTAAAAGCATAAAAGTCTAGCTTGTTGTGTTAGATGAATGGAAAAATTATCCATAATTCTTAACCAGAAGAGCATAATGTAGGAGCTAGGAGAAGCTTCAAAATACTGCAGGAAACCAATTTAGTGGTCGTTTTAGAATATTTAAGGCAAGACTATTGAGAAGTTTTGGATTTTTATGAAGGAATATCATAGTAACAGTTACCCTAGATATATATGTGAAAGAGATATAATGTTTTCTGGATTAGTCGAAGTAAATGTAGATTAAAGCTTAAAACAAAAAGGATTTTTGTCACAGACCTAAATCTTCCAGCAAAGTGTATGTTTTCTTTCTTCTCCTCTTTTAGTGGTTTTGATGGGGATGGAATGGCGCAGGGTATGGGGTTGGAGAGAAGGCAGGGTCAGTTAATCGATAGTTTAAGACTCTGGTTCTAACTGTCTTATAATTGCTTAGTTGTGTTATTTTCCTGTCTAATAGGTGAATTCCTACTCCTCTCAGTTTCTCTCTCATATGTAAATGGTTTTCTTTCCTGTCTAATTTTCTTGACCCCAATATTGGAATGTGAAGAGTTTCATTCTTTCTTTTCATTGTGGTGATGTTAGGTACCGGGCAGTGACAAGTGCATATTACAGAGGAGCAGTAGGGGCAATGCTGGTCTATGACATAACCAAACGCCAGTCATTTGATCATATAGCAAGATGGTTGGAGGAGTTGAGGGGGCATGCGGACAAAAACATTGTCATCATGCTTATAGGCAACAAGTCTGATCTGGGGACTCTTCGTGCTGTACCCACTGAGGATGCCAAAGAATTCGCACAAAGGGAAAGCCTCTTCTTCATGGAGACGTCAGCTCTTGATGCCACCAATGTGGAACCAGCTTTTCTCACAATCCTGACAGAGATTTATCGAATTGTCAGCAAGAAGCCCCTTACTGCCAATGATGATGAGACTCTGGAGGGAGTTCATCACTTC